TAACCCTCTCGATACTATAAATTCACACATTCTGCTAATGCAAGTTACATGAATGCTGAAGCCCCTACCTTAAGATTGCTACCATTCATTCCATCTCGGGGATGAATGCCACCCTACACATACTTGTTTACAACATAGGCAGCTGTAGTGAAGTGCAAAAAGAAAGGAAAATAAATATATTTTAAAGTTTCTCTTCCATTGCGAAGATGGAACGATATCTTCAAAAAAAAAAGTAGGGAGATTTGGGTGTTTACTGTAAGTTTTCATGTTAGACCATTTGAAAATCTCACTAGCCAGGTATGGTGGTGCACATCTGTAATTCCAGCACTCTAGAGGCCAAAACAGGAAGATTACAAGTACAAGCCCCACCTGCTCAATTTATGGGCACGGCGCCTTCTGCATGGCTCCAGGACTCCACACGTATGGTATTTCCAGTTTACATCTCTGCAGAATCCTTTTTGGGAGAGCAGCAAGCATATGAATTATCTTCATTCTGCCTTGTTGGTCAGATCCATGGGTACCATAAGGTACCACCCAGGTACACAAAAACAGTTACCCAAATCTGACAACTAGGAACGAAATAAGAACTCCTATATTAAGTAAATATATCTACTAACATCAGTATTTCTTAATGAGGTTTACCTTTTGTATGCAGGATTGTGTGACAAGTCACTCAATGGTGGGGACATGTGAGAGGTATTTACATAGAAACCGTAAAGGACTCCTCTACACAAAGCAGTTGAGTGTGCTGTCCCTATGCTAACCATTGCCAAGGCTCCTACCCATGAAAGAGAACAGATGGTGAAAAATTTTAGGGCATGTATGCTGTAGGTAAGTGAACGTCATACTGACCTAATTTCAAATGGACCCTGAGTAATCATTAACCCTACCTGATCTTCCCTTTCCTCCACTCCTGGAATAGGTGGCAAGCCTGAAGTTGACACCAGATCTGTCTTCTAGCCTTTCCTGTTAACCACCACACTGGACTGCTCCAGACACTTTACACATGTGGCAACGTACTACATCTTTTCACACTGATTGATTTCTCTTCAGGAATACTTTTTCAATCAAAGACCATGGCAGCTAAAGAAAAATTCCAAGGCACAAGAGAAATAGCTTTCTCTACTAGGTTTCATTCATGCAAAAGCTCAACAGTTGGGTCTGAAATACAAGGGCACCTCCTTCACATAGTCAAGAGATTGATAAATACATCCTGTTTCACAGCACAGAAAAACTGGAGGCCACACTTCAGGTTAATACCTCATCTCAAGATCAAATATGCCTCCAGAGCAGAAATGTCTACAGTTTTGAAAGCTAAGATATGAAATTCCAGTTGAAATGTGAAATTTTAGTTCACAAATTTGGCAAGCCTTTAAATTCTCCTGAGAGGATACTAAGGCTTCTGTGCCTAAGTATTTTAAAATGGAAAGTGCAGCTATTCTGCAACACTTTTAGAGATTTTTACAACACATCTGAAAGCAGGAGTTTACATTACCTGGCTCAGAGCTGCCAGATAAGCACCATAAAAAGAGAGTCACCCTTGATTCAATTAGTATTTTATACAATTAGTATTTGTAGTATTTGACAACCTAGAGATAACATGCTCTGGATTGAAAACCTTCTAATTCAAAACTATGGGTAGCTAAACACAACACAATTGAAAATCACATCTGATCCTTGTACCCCACCTCAAAAAGCAAAACATACAGAGGCTCTCTCTCTCTCTCTGCCTGGGATTATTCTATAGCAAAACTGATGAGTGTGGTGGCTAAAATAGCATCTAGGAGCCAAGCTACATGGTTTTCCACATCAAGGGAGCCCTCCCGCCTGGGTCTTCATGCAAAGAACCACGCCATGTGCTCCACATGGTCCCCACCACTCTCCTATCACAAGACTACTGGGCTCCACACTGTGGCACATGCACCCCATTCTCATACCACCCCCTGCCACCATCCCATCTTTACTCTTTCTCCACGATCTCAAATGTTTTTACTTTTCCTAGACCAAACCAAATTGGGTCTACCTTCAATTTCATTCGTTTTTAGTTCTACCTAGTTTTTAAATGCATGTGAGGAACACAGATGTAGGGTAGGTGGAAGACTGCCTCTGGGGGGTGGGGAAGAGAGGGCAGTGGGTGTAGGATTTAGAAGACAGAATGGATAACTGCTGGGTGGGCACTGAACAAAGATCCTCCTCCACAGAGGAAACTGCACTCAAAGCCTTAAGGCAGTCCTGAGGGAAACAGCAGAAGTAGATGCCAACAGGTTTGAGAGGTGACCCTCAGCACATATTTTGAGACAGTCCTTGTTTAAAATGAGAAAACCTTGTGTGTCTCATTGAACTGATAGGACCTGATCCTGAAAATGAAGCAAAACCAAAAGTTGCTTTTGTTATGTGTTTATATTTCTTTTCTGTCACTCAAAGATATGACAGATTTTGATTTTGGTCAAGGGTCCTTGTCATTCAGCCAGGTCTATTTCTTCCATGGAGTCTGTTCTCATCATGGATGCATTTCATTAACATCCACATCACATAGTCAGGTATTACTACTTTTACAGCTCTTATAGGTATCTTTTGAGCTTCGAGTGACTGCAGTGCCTGAAAACAGGAGCTTTTTATTTTTCTATCTTCTAGTCATAAAAGTACTAAGCAAGTCCATGCATAGCAAATTCCCAGGACTGGCTTATTGATTCCTCCAGGAATGCAATAAGCAAAATGGGTACAGAGAGAAGCTCAAGGAAATCCCTAACCTAAAGTCACATAGCCTTAACTAGCGGCCATTAATGAATGGATCCAGGATGACAAAAGTTAACTTTGAATGCAACTATCTTTAAGTCTGTCCCCATGGTCTTGGACTCCTCTTTTTTTCTGGCCTCATTGGCTTCAGCAACCAACCTGAGATTCATCCGTGTTCCACTTGAGAACATCAAACCAGAAGAACTAGATACCCAGGCATCTCAGGTTCTGAGTACACCCAGATGACTGGCAGGATGTGGGAGACAATCAATGTATTTTAGAAGTACGTCTCATCACAAAGTGAGTATGCCTATGCCCATGTGTAAATGCCAAGCTGCAGAAAGTTGACACAGCAACCAGAGCAGGGTGCTGCAGTGGACAGCTTTGCAAAGAGGTGCAAAAACACATTCTGTAACATCTGTGCTTTTAAAGTGCACATCAGATCCTGACAGACAATATCAGGCCCTTGCTTTGGGATTCTGAGAAAAAGAAGTAGGATTTTGAATACCTGCTAGCTTGACCTCCCTTTTCCCATCCACATGTGTCCCTCTTCATGCACAGTAAACAGTGCACACACAATCCAAAACAGCCTCCTTCTCAAAACACATAATTCTACATACTTTTATATATTAGCATGAACACGTTGTACTTGCACATCAGCATGACTTCCGCACAAAATTTACATCCACTGAATAACCTAGCAATTTGTACATTGTAAAGAGTAGCATATCCACAATGTTCCCATACCCAGCCAGCCCCCAGGTTTTATTATGTTATTGGTGTTTTAATGCAAAAAATAAATAATCCTATCAAGAATGTAGGTTGGTGTTAAGGACTCAACTGAACTTCACTCCAGGAACTGTAAGTCAACTTTTCAAAAGATCAAGTAATTTATGAAATTACTTTTCCATAGGGGTTGAAGAATGAGAGTTTACTCACCCACCTCCTAATGTTTTCAGAATGAATAAATTTCTTGCTAAGGAAGAGTAAGAGAGAGAGATGCTAGAATTGGACATGTGACTCTAACCTTCTTATATATACCAGGAAGCCATGTTCTTGCAAAGTGAACTGGAGTAAGGGGGCAGTAAGTAAAAGTGACTGTGTCCTAGACATTATCATTTGCATGTTTGTTTCTTAGGAGGCAGGTACTGATTCATATTTTGTTTTGTTTTGTGTTGTTGTTTCATTTTCTCCTGATCAAAATAAGAATGGTGTACAGCACCATTAAACAAATGAATCACGTGGTAGGTAAGGTGAGAGATATAGCTGCACATAAAGAAGTGGAGAAATTTGGTTAACTATGTCACGTGACAAACCTGTAGTACTTTACAAGATGCTACAGCAAGACCACAACATCTTTGCAACTTGGTAAGGAAAAAGAGGGATGGGTTCAGAATGATGTACTCATTCCAGGGCCTGAAGGAGTTTTGTGGTCTAAGAATATGAGGGTGAAGGTACGAAAGGTGAGAAATGCAAACAAATGAAGGAAAAGAAAGTCTCTTGCTCAGAGAAGTCACTCTGTCTGCCCCAGTGCCTAGGTAGTCCTGGGAACAAAGAGAACAACAGTAAGAGAATGCAGTTGGGTGATTTCTTTATCCCAGTAACTGAGATATATGTCTTGGAGGTGGCTGAACTAGGGAGCTGTTACACTTTGGCAGAGAGGCAGGACTTCCCAGGATGAACACTGACCTGTAAGAAACTTGAGTGTTGGGAAGAAAGACATAAAGAAAGAGCTGTCAAGGAGTGCAGACCAGAGAGCCAGCCATCCAGCCATCACAAGTGGGCCTGCACAGGTCTCACAAAGAGATGATGACAGAATACCTGTTTCTAAAGCTGCAGGAATGGCTGTGGTGGGTATGAGTGTCCAGGGGGTGTGGAGCAGAGCTGAGCATGTGGTCAGGGAGTGGGGAGAAGGACTTATGGGAGTTGAATGGGTAGCAGGAGAGAAGTGCTCCTAAATGAAAACTGGGTGGCAGGGCAAGGCCAGAGAAGATTTCTCAGAGACTGGTGCAACCTGTTCCTTGGGGCAAGGCGGCTGAGAGGCTGAGGGCCCCATATCCAGGCTACTTGGGAAATGGGGGATCAGGTGCACCAAGGCTCCAGCCTGCTAGTGGGTGTGGAGCTATCTCTGAGCTGGGCGGATCCTGGGAGGTAGAAGTGGGGGAGGGGAGGTCATTGCCGAGTGGGTGTGTGGAGCAAGCCGGAGTGGGGGTGGGGGTGCCGGTCCAGCGCCTCCGGCAGCCTCGACCTCCCCCAGGACTCACCCAGCACGAAGTAGGGCAGCTCTGTGTTCTCCAGGTCGTCCACCACGACCATTTCTCCCGGGAAGTCGTTGCGCACCGAGAAGAGGAGCTTGGGTTCGGAGGCCGAGGGGCTGTGCATGATGCTCAGGTCGTTCTCGCGCAGGAAGGGCAGCGCCGACACCGTGATGCTTTTGAGCTTGCACTCCAGCTCCTTGGACGCATCCACGTCGCCGCCGGCCGTGGCCAGCACCGCCGCCGGCCCCCAGCAGCAGGCGAGCAGGGCGCAGAGCCCGGCTAAAGCCATCTTGAGCCCCGGCCGCCTTCCTCCCAGCGCTGCGATGGTGGGGGAGGAAGCGAGGGGAGGAAGCGAGCGGGGAGGGAGCCAGAGAGCGGGCGCGGGAGGCGGGGGAGACTGGGGAGGGATGGGGAGCCGGGAGAGCCCGGGTCCCCGGAACCGGGTGCCGCGCTGGGCAGGCGAGTGCTGGTCCAGCACCGCGGTCCCGAGAGCCAGAGCTCTTTTGTTTCCCGGAGCTGCTAATCTGGGGAGAGGAGGAAGAAGAGATGGGGTGCGGGGAGAGAAAAGGGGAGGAAGGACGTTAGGAGGAAAGAGGAATGGAGCCAAGGATTCTAGGGAATCGGGTCAGCCCCCAGCTGGCTGTGGGTGCTCCAGTCTCTCCCCTGCATGAGCCGCTGGAGGCTGTTAGCGGCGAGGTGTACCGCGTTTTAAAAAATTTGACTTTGCGATGCAAAATCTTCCCTGTCGCATCATCATCTAATGGCTCAGGAAGAGCACACGCAGGCACACACCTTACAGGGCTCTTCTTCGGAGCAGGTGCGTGTGTGTGTGTGTGTGTGTGTGTGTGTGTGTGTGTGTGTAGATAGGGGTCTTTCCACATGCAAAGTCTTCTAGTGATTTTGTGGGCCTAACTGAACCCCTTTTTTTTTGTTTTGTTTTTTTTTTTTTTGCTTTTTTCTTTTCTTCCCCACACTAGTTAGTTGGATTGGTGTGTTGGATAAGTGAGCACTAACACAAATACACTTATGTATATAGTGCACTGACTTTGCATAATTTTAAAGAAAATATTTGCTGTATTGATATAGACAGTAAATGGCAACAAAGAAAACCAAAGTCCATGACACCCTACAGTCAGGCAGGAGACCAGAAGTTTTACCGGTTACTTTTCCCTCTTCATTTCATTTCGGTCACAAATGTTATCTACAGCAACTACTTAACAGGTGATTTGGGCAATACTATAGTTAATGAAACAAAACAGACTTAGCTCAAAGACTTGCTGAGCCTTTAATTTTAAAGAATCCCAGTATACAGACCAAAATTGGGGTAAAATGTAAGAAAAACTTTAGTTTCGAGGCACCCTTACAAGCGGAAAACTAGTAAAAGAATATTCCTAGATATGAGCCAGTTCAATCCTTACTCACTAAAGGACAGAAAAGGGGAGCTGTGTAACCCTTTGCCTAGGAATTCTGAGAAATAACCCCACCATGAAAAACATACAAAATATTTGCTCCCTGTAATGCTGTACAGTGTTAGCTTTTAAAAGTGATGGCCACATGCAATAAATAGCGGTATAAGTTAACATTTGGGAAATACTGGAATCTGATATTCACTGTTCTTTGTCTCAGATGATAACCAAAAATTTATTTCAAAAATATGCCCCCCCCAACAGTATTTGTTTAATGCTGATTTAAATGCTGGCTGCTATAAAGACTGTACTGAGTTTCCACTCTCTAGGAATTTGATGAACACCTTTTTTCAAAAATTTTTATTTCAAAAATAATTGTATTTTCAATCTACCTCTTGTAAATGTATTGACATGTTTAAATACATAACCTTTAAAATGCAAAAAAATATGTCTTATAACTCACAAGATTAATCTGGTTGAATAGTTAAATAGTTCAAACTAGTTGAATCAGCCATATTTAAGGTCACAGATATCTGTTTATCATCAAAAAAAGCTTACACTTTCAGCTTAGTTTTAAAATCAGATATATTGAAGAATTAAGTCAAAAGTACATTACCATGTGGCATTATAAATACTGCAGAAAAGATATATCAGCTAATGACCATTTGAAAATTCGTCATCTTCATTACTCCCTTAAGAGGTATTGAAAGAAACAGAGACTCCATGATGTCTTTTTTACTATTCTCTAGCACACACACATGCACACACACACACACACACACACACACACACACAAAGCATTAAGAACAAATAAGCAAGGTTTTGCCATTCAATAATTAGAATAAACCAGGAAAACACAATTAGTCCTGGAATGTGTGAAACTACCAGATGAACTATTACTTCAATCTTTCATTTAACAGATGAAGAAACTGAGGGAAGTGAGATAGTGAGATGCTTTACAAGACCAATCTACTAAGATGATGGAAAACTAAAACCACAAACAAGAGTACACAGTAATTCATTCAGAAAACACTTGAGTACTTACCATATGCTGAATGTTAGTCTAAGGATGGACAGAAAAATGCCCCTCATCCTTTTAAGTAGCATGTAATTTACTCTCTGTTTGAAATCTTTTCTAATTTTCTGAACTCTTGAGTAGTGTCAGAAAACTCAAGTGAAGCATTTTGGGTTAGTTTTCTATAAGTCACTATCTAGACTTCTTAAAATTTATATTGAGCCTGGAATATTTGGAAGTTTGCATGTCAGGCTTTTATAGATCACTCTCTCCATGGAAGAGTTAAGAAACCAAAGCTTTGGAAATAAAATTGATTTTCTCCAGAGAACTCGATCTGTGTAAATATGGTGTAAAATCACAGTCACTTCTTCAATGGAATACCAAAATAAGTCAAGCATGGTGGTACATGCCTGTAATCTCAGCACTCCAAGAGGCTGAGGCAGGAAGATTGAATCTCAGATTGAAGCCCAGCCTAGACTAAGATTTAGTGACTTAGCAAAATCCTGTTTCAAAATTTAAAAAGTTTAAAAAGTGCTGGGGATGTAGCTCATTGCAAAGGCCATGCATTCAATATCCAGTGCCTCAAAAAATATATAAATAAGTAAAAATATAGATGGATAAATCCCTAGAGATGGTGGTAGAGGTGCAATGGCAAAACCAAGCTGTGTCTACTGGGTGATAATTTACATTAAAATGAGATGCGATGAGAAAAGAAATGTGCCTATCTCAGTCATGACCTTCACCTTCAGGCTTATGGTATGATGAAACAACAGGGGGGTCACCTCTATAGTTTTCTCATTTCGAAGTGAGTCTGAGCCATTGTGAACTTCATTTTCCCCATCAATAAAATGTTTTCCTTCATCTCTGCCTACCTCATAAACCAGAGATAATGTAGTTACAAAATTTGCATTTTTAAAAAAACTATAAAATAGCAAGTGCTGGTGTCTTCAATCCTGACTTTCTGACTTTCTTCCTTAGATCCACCTTCCTGTATTTAAATGTCAGTGTCCCTTGAGCTTCCTGACATCTTGCTTTGCTCATGTCTGGGTAGTTTTCCTATCCTACACGTTTGAGATCAAACACCATGGTTTGGAAATCTGAAGACTTCAGATCTCATTTATGCCTCTGGATTGCACTTGTCACCACATTGCATCTCCTCCCCTTCTCACCACACACACACACACACACACACACACACACACACACACACACTCACACTCAAAAAAGAAAGGGTTGTTTCCATATTTGGAATCTTTCAGTATTTTACTTGCAAATAGAAATAATAATGTGTAATTTTAAGGTGGTTACAAGGAAGACGCATACTTCTGTTGCAGAGAATCTGAAACATTTAGTTACTGCTCCATGTCCATAGCCTTTGCCATCATCACGTCACTGAATTACTTAAACAAAAAAGATGATTTTAGAATCATCTTCCTAAGACTTGCTCCATTGTAGTAGCCTAAAGTAAATTCAATGATTTATAAGCTTTGGTGCTTACTCCAGGAGAAATGATGTCATATGTATAAAAAAGCTAAGTACAGAACATTTTTAGCAGTATTCATAATAAATAAACAAAAGATGAAGGAACTCAAATATTTATTAATAAGAGAATGGATACATGCCATATGGTCATGCAATGGAATACTACACAATTGCAAGAAGTACAACTTCATTGATGAATCTCTTAGGCATAAGAATGAGTGAGAGAAACATGACCCAGAAGAATACATACTCTAATGTTCTACACACATAAAATTGAAGAGCAGATAACATTAATCTTTAGTGAAAACAGAATAGTTGTTATCACTGGGTTGGAGGGTTCTGAGGAGAAAGCACAAGAGTGTGTCTCTTAAAGTTCTGGAAATGATGTAGATTGTGGTCACATCAGTGTGTGGATAGGCAAATGTTCATCAAACTATACACTGGTAGAATTGTTTGGGCATGTTTTTACCTCATTGCATTTTAATTACATGGTTTAGGGAAACATAGTCCAAGAAAGCATGGGCAATTTTTCTTTTTGTGAGTTGCTTTCATGTCTTCAAATTCCACTCTTTTCCTCTTTAGAAATCCTAAAAGTTTTAACAGTTTTTCCATTGCAGTTGATATTCTTAGGTCCTACTGCTCGCTCTACTTACCTACTTCCTTATGTTATTTTATAGCATTGATGTCAAATAGCTTATTACTTGAGAAAAGTCAGTGGGCCTTTGTCTCTTGGAATGACAGAAGTAAATAACTCAGCAGTTGGGCAACAATAGATTTAACCTTCATATATTCACTTGTATATTTCTTCCAAGATGAAGAGCTAGAGACATCATAGGATGACCATTGTCTCGCATGTTTTATAGCATAAGCAAACACATACCTTCAGCAGGCAGAAGAAATGCTCAATTTGTGTAAGTGTCAGAGGAAATACAGGTGAAAATCAGGTGTAGATGAGAATGAGAAGATGCTATTGCTGATTTTCCCTATTCATACTTCTGGCCACAGTGTTTAGATAATCCAGATGGGTACTGCTTTGACATTCACTTGACCTCTTCATTCTTTTATATTTTTTTTCTAGTTCTTTGGGAAATAATCTCTGATGTTGCTTTTCATTCAAAGAAATTAAATTGAGACTATGTGCTAAGTTCATGGTCTTCTCTCCACATTTCATCTTCACACAACTTTATTCAGTGCTCCCAAGGTTTTGGTCAGTCTCAACCACAGCTCTTCTGCTTTATTTGAATATTTTTTTTTTCATCATTAGGATCCTCCCATGCTCTTACCAAAATTTAGCATATATGCTGGCTAGTGGAACATATTTGTTTTGCACTTTCTTCAAACATCAAAATATATAATTCACATCCTTCAACTCCAGATTTAGTATTTTCTTCCTTTACTCTTTCCTGCTCTCCTCTTTCTCCCTTCCACTTTCTCTCCCTCGCTCCCTCCTCCTTCCCTCTCCATTCACAGACTCAGCAACAGCACCTGCTTCACAGAAACAAGGCTGGTCCTGTTCTGACTTTTTTAGTTCCCTGTTAAAAACCAAGTCCCTCTTCCTGGCACACACTGAAGTGAAAGGAGACACAGAAAGAAAACACCACAACCACAACAATTATCTTGTTTGGAAGCAAAACATGTTTTTTGCCCTCAATGTCTCCCTAGGACTCTCAAGATCTACTCTTTCTTTTGTGTTTGGAGTCCTGGTGTTGGGGTAGAATGTTCCTTAATTTAGTTGTCCAGCCTCCTCTCTAAATCTGTTTCTTTCCCTGGCCATCTTTTCACTGAGTTTCTGCTATATTTTGCCTCCTTCTCTCTTCTATCTCTGGACTCTGTGTGTGTGTGTGTGTGTGTGTGTGTGTGTGTGTGTGTGTGTACTAAGTCTCAGTTGGGGGCTCATTTCTAATTAAGTCTGTCAGGAGGTGAAAACGCACAGAATAACCACGGAATGAATCCTCCAATTAGAAGAAAAATGGATCAAAGGGATCCCCATCTCTGGGAGGTTCACTTTAAGCAGACAAACAAAATGGGATGGGACAAATGATTACTGTAAGTTAGGAAGATTAGAAAAAAGATATAAGTGGCTCTCTGGCTACTTCTTATTCTTTGGCTTTCTTAGACTTTGTAAACCTGACCTAGCATTCCCACCCCCAGTCGTGAAAGTATCCAGGGTTTCCTTGTACACACCAGAAAGTCCGTGCTGCCCAGCTAACAGGGTTAACTCGGTGCTGGTACCCCAGCCTGCTAACTAGGCGAGAGAGCGGTGGGCCTCAGAGCCCGCCCCCTGCCATGCCTCAGAGCCAATAGAAACACGCGGGGATTGTGGTGCCGTGTCCTATTGGCTGAGGACCTACGTGCATAAGAAAGAGAGAGAGAGGCAGGCAGGGCAGCATTGTTATCCTGAGGCGCTCATCTGGTGTCTGAGTCTGCAGGTGACACCGCTTCAGTAAGGAGCGCGGAGTCGGAGCGGGCACGCGCCGGGCTGCAGCCTGGGACGGAATCCGCCAGCCTCGCCAGCTGCTAGGCTCCTCGGGCAGCGCCTCCGCGGAACGCAGAGGACCCCGAAAGGACTTGTCCGGGGAAATGCACCTGCCGTTCGCGCCGAGGGCACCGACAGGTCTGCAGGCAGACGAGGAAACAGGAAAGCCGGGGGAACCGTCTTTGCCCGGGTACCAGGCTCCGGTTTCGGATCACAGAGGGGGCGAGTGAGCCTCCTTAGAGTTAGAAGGAAGGCAAGATCTTGGGTTTCGCCTCGGTGGGGTGACAAGAAGGGACTGCCCTGTTGGGCTGCCACTTTCCTCCGCTCTGCCACCCCGTGCGCACCCGGCCCAGCGCCGAAGCCTCACTCCCGAGATGCTCGGGCCGACCAGGCTGCACGCTGCTCCGCGGGAAGGCAGCAGGCGAGAGATCTAACGGGCGGCGAGGGCGGCAGCGGCAGCAGAGCCCAGAGCTAGGGAATTTGAAAAGAGACATCCGCTCCCTCTCACGCGCGGAGGGGGAGGCATTCGCGTTTCCCCAAATGAGGAAGAGCCACAAGAAATCATGAAGTAAAAAACTTTGGAAACCTGCCACCGGAGATGTTGCACAAAAACCTGGAATGTTTTAGGAAGCTCCTTCCGGTAGTTGGAGGTTGGAGGAGCAGCTGATACACAGGAGGGCTCTTACAAGGATTCAAGGTAATAGTGCAGGGGATTCCTGGTTTTCCTTTTTCATTGTCCTTTTTGGTGAGTCCGTCGGGAAAGAAGGGGATCCTTTTGCCCTCGTACAGCCCCCTCTTGCCCTGGTCCCTGGCGAAGGGAATGGTTCCACTTAGTTTCTGTCTCTGGTGGAGCTGAGCTGTGGACTTTGGGCTTAACTGGAGATCGCTCTGGTTTTGTCTCCTGGTGTTGCATGGCTGTCACACAGCTTGGGCACACTGCCTGACCTATATTGCTTTTGCTTGGTTTAAGTCCTCAAAGTTAGTGCAACTCCTATTAGCTTCGGAAAACCCAATCAGGCTGTATAATTGCACAAAATGATGAGGACTATTGCATGCTGAGCAGATGCTGGACTGAATTGTACGAGATTCACTGTATTGGGGGAAAGCCCTAAAAAGCTGAGGTGATGATGCATGGTATGTCTGCATTCACATGTTCATAGAGCCCTGTGGCATGTCTTTAGAGGCCAGTTTCATTTCCCCATGCACATGCAGTCCTGAGGAAAACAATTTCCAAAGAGTGAACCTTGTAGGGTGTAAATAATCTCCCGGGGGTAGAGGCAAAAGCCCCATTGACTGGGTTGAGCTTGTGGGAGCACTAGAGACACTGGGGGAAAATACTGTTGTGCTGAAGGGAAGGGTATTTTGGTATGATCTCGAACACCGCTCTCCCTGCTTCTGTGATCATCTGGACACACAGTCAAATGCTGTCTGTGGTGTGTATGTGCTTGTGCTTGCAGCTATATGCAGGAAGCTGGCTGCCCACTGAGGGAGCAAGCATGTGCATCACCCAGCCCAGGCTGTGGGTACCTGGAGTGTTCCTGCCTAGTAGGAGCATGAACTTGTGAGCTGTAATTCTAGCCCAGAGGAGTTTTTTCTTTTTTCTCACTAAGCAGTCCTTTTGCACAGTACATATTTATCCAGGGTATATAGACCTAAGCCAAATATTAACTAATAAGCAAGCTAACGCACTATAACATGATTGAGCAGACCCCTATGTAAAGAATCGTGTGTATGCTCTTCCTCGCCCTGGGAGCAGGATGCCCTGAGCAGAAACAAATGTTTTTATAAAAGGCTGATAATTGTAAAAGACCATGCTCGTAGCCAGGCAATCTGGCTTATCCAGTAGGGACAGTGATATGTCACTATAGACCAATCCAAAAGATCAAAGGTGTATCATCAGTCAAGTATTCCTACCTCTGTCCTTGTCTAGACATGTGCATATGTACATGTTGAAGTGACTCTCCCTTACTCTCTGTCTCTGTCTCTCTCTGTCTCTCTGTCTCTGTCTCTCTCTCTCTCTCTCTCTCTCTCTCTCTCTCTCTCTCTTTCTCTCTCTCTCTCCTCTCTCTTTCTGGTCATACTTTCTAGAAGATATGCAATATCACTATTAACCAAGCAGTTAAAGTATTTTAATAAATCCCCTCGGGGGCAGTCTGATGACATCAGGCAACAGCCAAGTGGTACTGGAGTTTATGTTTCCCCCCTTGACTTCATGCAGTTATATGAATGTTATTTGTTAAGGCCTGACCCTCTGGAGTTCCATTTCACTCAGAATAAGTTGCTTTGCAGCACTGAGGGCATGACCAAGCAATGCTGCCACAAGGATCCTGTCTTATCAATATCATAGTTACTGCCTACTCTAGGGAAAGATGCACACTTTGCTTCTTTAAGGAAGAATGTGGTTTCAAAAGAGGCAGAACATGGATACCAAGAAATGTTTGAAAGTAAAGAAGCAAATGTCAGGGTAGAGTCTTCCCTGCTAGAGAGCAGCTGGCTGTAAGGATTTGACAGCTGGGCTGCAGTCGTGGAGAAGACAGAAGCATTCTTGACTCTTGCTTTCCTCCCCTCACCAAAAAAGGAGCTGGCTTTTTCTCTGGGAATGAAGTGGTGTGTGCTGCAGTGTAACAAGAAGAAAGGAAGTGGGGATGGAAGGGCTGGGGAGGGCAGAAGGTTCCTGCCCTGCTAGCATCAAGCTGGTTTTGAGGGAGGTGAGCATCTTCTATACTGGGCCTTTGAAGGATTATCTTCTGGATGTTCCTTTCTGGCCTCCTGACTGGCTGTTTACTGAGTAAGGCCAGAGGGCACAAAGCGTCCCTGCGTCATCAGCTTCTCCTGATCCCCTTTCCCAAGGCACAGCCTAGCCTCTGGGGAGCATCACATAACAGAGATCCCCTCTGAGAGGATGCTCCAAAATCCCTCTCCGGCTCATAAACAAGAGGTAATCCAGAGGGACTGGAGATATCTGCGTGGGTACTTTCCGCTGACTGGGATCATACTGCTGAGATTTCCTGGTCAGCACTAAACAAAATACTGTGCTTTGTATGTTTGGCCATTTGGCTCTTTTTCTTAAATAATAAGATCTTATGTATATTTTTAAGACATCCTTTTCCAAAGAGCTGGGGACATTTCACAGAACTTCTCTAATTAATCCTCATATGGCTTATTGTCTCGTTTATCTTTGATTACCCGAAGAAGTACAGCTAGAGTGATTGTAGCCCTCTTCTTTGAAACAGGAGGGCAGAAAACCTCAGAAAGAAGGATTGCTTTACATTGGGTCACACAGCAATTCAGGGAAGTCATGAAATGAGGTCCGGTTCATAGTGCTCCTGAACCAACTCCAGTGTCAGGCAAGGTTTAATCTTAGTGGTTGTGATCTGATACAGTTTTTCTGTACTTTACAAGACTGGGAGGTTTCAGTGACCCAGAGTTTCTCAGTTGGCACTAACCTAAGGACAGTGAGAGATAAAAGTCTTCCTGTGAGCATTGAACCTCAATGATCATACAGTCTAGTTAGAAAAATCAGATCACATCTGGGAAAATGGTACATGATAATGTAAGTTCTACAGGGTAGTCCAATAACCTAGAAGAAGGCTGACCCAATAAATCTGCAATTGATTTCTACAGACATTGAGAGCTACTAGTATCAAAGAAGGGAGAATGTGAGTTGAGCCTTGAGCAGTAGGGTGGGATAGGCTGATGGACACACTACCTTCAACATGGTGGGAAGTCTGGATACATCAAAGGATGCGTTGCAGTCCAGCTGGGCCACTTCTCCTCTGGCCACCTAGACATACTATATATCTGGTTTAACATTTTGAATATATATTGGCTTAGAGGAAGTTGTCCTGAGACCTAGAAAGAGAGCTCTGAAATGTTAGGAATTGTCTTAAACATTGGAAATTATCTGGCCTTCTCCTTGCCCTCAAGTCTGATCTATATACAATTGGAAAAAATACTGCTCAAGGTCAGAGAGATTATCAACATCATATCCAAGAAAATTGAATGAGTATATTGAGGAAAAACAGGCAAGTTTCAAGAGAATATGAGAAAATCTTCTCATATGTTAAAATCAGAATCTCTGAAGAGAGCTTTGATTTTCCTCCATTTCCTATTTCCCCACCCAAATGTTCCTCTTGGGGTTTACTTAGAGCCGGCAAAATGCCAAAGCCTTTAGGCATTTTGCATTGAGCAGAAGATTTTCAATCTTAAGATTCTTGAGCATGCCCATGTATATAACCTCTTGTCTCCCCTTCTCTTTCCCTTTTAATAAAACATATGCCGTAGCAGTCACAAAGGAAGAGACCACAAAAAAGCAGGAGGAGATGGGGTGTGGTATTGCCCGCAGCTGTACCACAGGGCACTGTGATTGCTCAGCTGAGCAGGAGCGGGGAGCAGCAGTCTGCCAGCCTGGGAAGCAGCATGAAAGGCTGAGGGCCACGGCCCATCAGGGAAGGCTGTGGCCAACTGGCCACATACATTGGTTCCAGCAGTAGGCTTCTCTCCAGGGAAAAGGTCAGGCAAAACCTAGGTTCTGTGAGAGGCCTGGAAACACAACCACTGAATTCTTCAGTCTTCACTTAATTTGAGGCCACTATGCAGGTTGTGTATTCAAGCTTCAATTCAGGCTTCTATTCAAGTAATGACTTGAGTGGCCCCAGTCCTATGAGAAAGGATGTTCATAGAGGGAATGAGAACAAAACAACTGGCCTGAAGTTATAGCATACCTGAAGTCAAGAGGGATATCCCTAGGACCCCAGTCTGTTTGTGTGTTTTTCCCCAGGAGCTCATTCTGGGGACAGGTCCAGGGACATTTCTCTGGAAAATCCTGCCCCAGACCTTCCTGTCACCCTGTATCCAGTGTTAGATGGCTATGCAGCTGGATTATGGGTGTGACACCTTTTCCTTTGCTCTGCAAGAGCATCCATGAGCATCTTTGGCGACCGAGGTAGATAACAGGGCCAAGCACATGGATATATATGATTGGTTGTTGTGGATTAAGGTGTGTCCTGTTTGGGAGAGAAGTGAGAGGCAGCTCAGTGATGCTTCAGCCTGCAATGAGTTGGCTTTGTCTGATCAATTAGTGGCAGATTGACCCTTCTTGAAATTGTCACATTGCCATGCAGTGGGAAGTGGGATCGCATTATTATAACATGAGATATTCAATAGCCAGTCCTATCCCTCCTTTTACTGGACCTCATACATAGTGCAAATACTTCTGAAATGCTGTGCTGGACCAATAATCGATATGTCACAGGACTGAGCACTAACCAGCACTATCCAATATGGTGGCCACTTGAAACAGCTGGCTTTTGAGCTCTGGAAATGTGTACTGTATATGTAAAAATACATGCTAGATTTTTCAGTTTAGCTTTAAAAAATGAATGCAATGTATCTCATCAATAATTATTTATGTTGCTTACATTAAATGATAATATTCTGAGTATATTGGGCTAAATAAAATATATTGGTTAGTCCCATACATTTCTTTTAACTTTTCAGTGTGCATCTACCAGGAAAGTTAATTATTTCTTTTGAACTAATTATTTCTTTTGGTCTAAACCCTGTAGAGTAGTGACAGGTTAATGGAGAGAAAGGGCAGAGTCATGAGACAAGAGGAGTCAGAGACATAAAAAGAGAGACAACATGGAGGGAGAGGTCAAGGGCAGCCCAGAGTGAGCCTCTGTGCATGTATTTCTG